TGAAAACGTAGCGAAATTGAACCGTGTTGAAATTTTTAGAAGTCGACCGTGTAGATTTCGACACGGATCGGACGTTCATAGTGTGAAAAGGATTATTATGGTAGAACAGAATATAGGGCCCATGGAAAGGCCACAATATCAGAGACCATGATGTGGAGAGTTTGGTTCTAGGGTATACCAGTGCCATTGTACCGGATGGCTTAGCATGGAGTTTCTGCATGTAATTCAAATTTTAGTTTTGATCCAAATAAACATTTTAATTTCAATGTATAGGGACGTACATGTGTTTTCCTTATTAAACTCAACAACATAAAAACTTGACCTGGATTCAAATATAAAAAGTTCTGTCTCAAAGACCATTTTGCACCATAAACTGCACAAAATACATGTATGCTTAAAAGTATCTTTATCGCTTGAGGTGCTTTGGGTTCAGGTAAACAGTTGTCAATAAAATCAACATTATCAAGCAAAAGTCAATTTGGGTATAGTTTGGGTGACTTGGGATAAAAACCTTGGTCGCTCACAGTACATTTTTGGTTACGCAAGTTACAAAAGTTACTCACGTTACCAAATTTAGTTGCCTTTTATCTAAAATGTGCGTATTAGTATCAACAAAACACTTACATTTATATCAATGTTCATGTGAAGTAGGAAAATCCTAAAAACCAACATTTAATTCATCAGAAATGTTGGTGAGAAAAAACTTTAATATCTTTTCTGTCTCACATTACATTTACCAAAAAAAGGTATGAAACCCTACTTTTTGATATTTAAAAATGGATGACGGCTGAAAATGACATTAGGACTACCATACATGTATGCTAGAAATAAGGTTATGATTTAAATATCTTTAATTGCATTTATAGCAATCGAGGTTGAAACTTTACCAAATTTTGAGAGTTCTTCGTAGTAAAAATTTATTTTTCACTTTACGACACTATTTCTCAAACAAAATTTGATAAAAGAGGGTTTTCTTTGTTAATTTCATATACAGGGTGAGTCAAAAAAAGCGGAACCCAAACACCAAAAAAATGTATTTCATATTTAAAAAAATATGAAGCACCAAAAATAATAATGAATGGAAAGCCAATTTCAAAAGCTACTTTTAGATGAAATAATTACTGAAATTGCTCAATCCGTTCAAAGAATACGACCATTTAAACGCAATGACCCTAAAACCTGTCTCGTCCAAAAAAATCAATTTATTGTGTGTTTTGACTGTTTGGAACAACAAAGAAAATGACACAGAATACTTGTTTCAACAACTGTCACCAACTGTAGCACACAATTTTTTGATTAACAACAACTAGGCAAACAATATGATTTATACAATCTACTTTTTTAAAAGACGGGCCTTTAAAAGGACTTCGTTGCATATTGTTAACGTTTAAACTAAGATTTCATCGCTGGTGATGTTTGAAGACAATTGTGTCGACGATTGTTGAAATCGCATTTTTGGGACGAGACAGGTTTTAGGGTCATTGTGTTTGAATGGTGATATTTTTTTAACGGATTGACCAATTTCAGTAATATGAAATATAATTTTTTGGGTTTGGGTTCCGCTTTTTTTGACTCACCCTGTACTTGAATGTATACTCTGTAATAAAAATGTGAAACTGGGTTCAAAAAGAAAACTTTTTTTTCCTAGCCATGTCCATCAAACCGTGGAATTGCCCTTAGTTAATCTTCTTTTAATTCTGCTGACCCTAATTTTGCAATTTTAAACAGAATCTTTCCATAGAAACTGCAAATTTCTTTCAAACTTTTCAGTTGAACAACCTGATGTTATGCAAATCAACACGCATCGTGAATTCACAGTGTGTCGCGATGAGTGCCATCTTTATTTTCATGTTGTGGTCTTTATTGTCGTTCTACCAACAATTTCCCTCCTTAAAAAAAAAAGAATCAAAACCTTGCCCTTGATACACTCTTCTTGGTTTTAAATATTGCTAACTTTTAGTTGATGAGTCCAGGAACCTAAAAATGGACTTTCATTCTCTCTCTTGTTTCTGGAACCTGTAAACGCTTTTAAATTAGCGCAATACGTAAGGGAGCAGACTAATGACCAGCCTGGCAGCTCATGCACGATGTCGATGTCGCTGTATGGTCTGACGTTATGGTTTTCCCGGATTTTTGTCTTGACGACTCCAAATTTCCCGAAAAATGGTGTCGGTCAAGATCGTAAGTGAGTGCAGACTTCTCAACTTCTCAAGCCAATTGTGGCCTTACTGAGGTCACCTCAATCTCCACTCTGAAAGATATTTTTGAGAGTTTTAAGGTGATCAAAGCTTCATCTGCAACATAAGCCGACATTTGAAGAGAAAAAAAGTAGGGTAAAAAAAAAAACGCGTCGCCGCACCACTTTTGGGGCAAGCTCCAGACTAGAAACCAGAGACTTTTTTGGGGGGCCTTGGGTCAAAGGTTCCGTCGGTGTTAAAAAAAGTCCAAGTGGGATCACATGGCACACAATGCGAAGGAATGTCGCGGCAAGATTCCCTGTGATAGCGGAAAATAAGTCCAATGGGATCACAGCTTATAATTAGGTCCAATGCCCAGAGCATTTCCTCATAAAATATTTCATCCACAGCAACTCTTTGTCTAAGCTGTATAGTTTATGCATGTTTCAGTAAATTAACATTATTGTTCATGATACTATGAGTAGTATAGGGATGATTAGGGCAGGCATTACAGGGGCTGTTTACATGGTTCAGATTCTTCCAAAAGCACCAAATTTGGCCCAGATGTCATCCACAACATCCTATTTTGATTTTTGACGGGCACCAAGATGGACGGCCACGGGGCCGCCATATTGGCAAAATCCAATATGGCCACCAACCGTGTGAGAGGTCAATCGGAGTTAAAAAAATTAAACGAGCAAGAATCATAAATAGGCTAATACCACTTTTAACAGTGGACCAGCCAGAGTGGAATATTATGCTTTGGTCGGCATTTTTGAGTAATAGCAGGCAACCATGACAGATCAATCAGTCAATGGATAGAGAATAAAATGTAGGATGAGGTTTAATTTTTAAAAAAAGTCCATCTTTTTAACGATTTTTCGATTGACACATTTTAGCTTAAAATTTACAATCTTCCAAACACATGTAACATTTGTGTTCATTTTTTTTTATGAAAAAGTATTTCTGATAATTAAAGTCACAGATATTTAGCTGTTTCGGTGCACACACCGAAACAGCTCTTGTTTTTGTTATTTTTTCTCTGTCTGTCTTTTTTTTTTTTTTTTTTTTTTTTTTTTTTTTCCCATAGGATAACACGTGTTTTCGTTCTACACAGGACTTTGGGCCTTTTTTTTTACATCCGATCAACTTTAAACCTGGCACACACTTAGACCACCATCTGAATATTAAGGGCCGAATCATGGCGCCATCGTGACGTCATCACGTGTCACGTATGTCATCCGAAAAGTGCATATTTTAAGGCCCTATATCTACAGAACCAGAAGTCCAATCAGCTTCAAACTTGGTATGCAGGTATTCCGGGACATGTTATAGACAAAAAAGCAGTGACGTCACAATGACGACATCGTGTGATTTTATATAAATTAGTCATTTTTTGACCTTTTACTCATATCTCATCAACGGAATGTGGTAAATTCGAAATTCTTTTTGTAAAAGGTTGGTTAGGTCATAGATAGATGCACCAAATTTCGTAAAATGTGTGACATCGTCATGACGTCATCAAAAACCTGAATTTGTATTCACATATAAGGGTATGTCCGATGGTTATGAAACTTGGTGGGTAGGTAGGCATTGATACAAGCATTCAAAATCTGAAGTGACGTCATCATGACGTCATCATCTGATTTTTTATTCATTTTAAAAATTTTAACATTTTCTTCTAATTAGCAAAAATTACATAAAATAGCTCGATCGACTTCAAACCTGGCACACACTTAGACCCCACCATCTAAAGATTCAGGCCGAATAATAACGTCATCATGACGTCATCACATGTCAAGTGACATCATCCTAAAATTGCATAGTTTAAGTCCCTATATCTACAGAACCAGAGGTCCGATCGGGTTCAAACTCGGTGACGTCACGATGACTTCATGATGATGTCATCATGTTATTTTATTTGAATTATTAAAGTTTTGGACCTTTTCCTCATATCTCATCAATGGAAGGTGTTGAATTCGAAATTCTGTTTGCAAAAGGCTTGTTAGGTCGTAGATAGATACAGAAGATTTCAAAAAATGTGTAATGTCACCATGATATCATGAAAAATGTTGGGTTTTTTTTACATCGGATCGATACTTAGACCACCATGTATAAAATGCTCATGTACATGTTCATTCGACTTGGCTGAAACTCCTTTACGGCAGTTATTGCTAAAGTGGTCGAAACAGCTCAGTGTTTGTCCACAAACACATTTCTAGTTATGCATGACACTGAACATTTTTAAACATGATTCTGCATGGACAAACAAAGTATAAACTCAAACTTCTGGAAAGGCAGAAAAGCCAGTTGCATTGTCCGTAGACAATCAACACGTCTACTTTAATCCTCCTGTTACTCTGGATACACTCAAGCTGGGCTGGTCGAGGGATGATATTTGCTTGAGCCCAATGTTATCAAAATTCCCAAGCCACACACTCTGTTGTAGAGGTAATTTGATGTATATGTACATGTTCAATCCAGTTCCATGAACAAAATGCAAGTTGCTCATTTCCAGCTCGAAAGCTAGTTTGCAATTTGGAGGAGGAGCTGTGAAAATATTCTGAGTCATCCTGATGCTGACACTGATTTGGAGCAGACGGAGGATTAATATGATTCCAAGCTTGGCATGATTGCTGAATAACTCTTTGAATCCACGAAGGATAACCCCTGACTGTAGAAATGTTTCTAAAGCTGTTTAGGGGTGGACTAACTATATTGATCACAATCTTTTGTGAATAACCGCTGTTTACTGAAATTCTTCTTTTGTGTGCTTTGAACTTTCAATGCATTGATAATGATTTTGCTGTATATTCCCATTAGGAAAAAGAAAGAGACAGGCCAAAAAGCAAAGGTGGCAAAACCAAGAGTCGTTCTGCAACAAGTCCACCTGCCACCCGTGAACCAAAAAGAGGAGCAGAGAAGAAACAAATACATGCACCTGTACGAAGTCTAACACCACCATCAGAATCAGGGGATCCACATCTTGATGCTAAGTACAGAAACAAAATGTATATCCAGGTAAAAATTTCCCTTGAATTAGCAGAATAATTCTTAAAATGATCTGTAAAATTCAACCATTGTCAAAATAGGGATGAAGTTATGGCACAAATTACTAAAATGTTTACTAAAGACAAAGTGAAAACTAGAGAATGTTTTTGATTGACAGTACAAAATGATGTAATGATTTTTCCAAAATTTCTTAATGACATGTATTACAATTGAAATTATAATCTTTATTCATAAATACCTCAGACAGTTTAGCCATTCCTATTGGTCGAGAGCCCGTCACGTGGCCGGTATTAAACGGATGATAAAGACATGGCTAGCTGGTCTTAAACACTTTTCCAGTGTCACAATAAAATGTGGACTCCTAAAAATCCAGTGCCTCTTATCGTTTAATTGGTTGAACGTTCACAATCCTCACGTAGGCATGCGCAACACTACCAGGGAGTTAGAATTTTATAGTTCTAAATTCAAAACGCAACGCGCCAGGTGCGTTCTGCGCGACATCGCATAGAACATGATACGCGCGCGTCAATCTCCATAAAAGGGTTGTTTTCATCTTACTCGCCAGCTGAACACTCCATTATTTTGCAGGAGGGATGATTCAAAAAGCATAAAGTGAATTTGTTGAACAAAATCGGGATGTTTTGCCGAATTATATGATTTTTTTTTACCGAAAAGGTATTTATGAATGGGAATAAATATGTACTCCGTCGGTATTTATCACTCTGTTTAATACCACTTAGAGTCTGGGTGCTGATAATTACCCTCGCCTCCGGCTCGGGTAATTATCAGCACCCAGACTCTAAGTGGTATTAAACAGAGTGATAAAAACCTCCGGAGCACACATTTATTCCCTTAATAATTGCACTTCCGGTACAACTGGAAGTAAGGGTCACATGACCTTGACATTCCAGGAAGTGCATTTTCAGTCCAATATGAGTGTGCAAAGAACTAGAATCATAACTTATTGCATTGATTGTTGAAATCTAGTGTCCAAAAAATTGCCTCATTAAATATTCACGAAGTCTTAATATTAGAATAATAAACTGTACAGTAATAATAATGCATTATAATAATCTTTGAATGTTGCTTCATACTATTACCAGGTATCGCCCCATCATATTTATAATGCATTAGATATGGCAACTAGAGCTTCAAATTGCAATTCCAGTGATACCAGAAGTTAGGGTCACAGGACCTTATATTTTACATATATTTTCATCTATAACACTTCCCTGTCTATACCGGATTTGAGATCAATCAATCGGCCCATTAGTTCTGTAGTTATAGACTGTAAAAAATGAACATTCCAATTGATGTCACGTGACCCCTAATGACATCACGATGACAAAACTGTTCGGCATACATCTTCAGATGATGGTTAATGACTGTGCGCAGTTTAAAGGTGATCGTATTTTTAAAAGTTCCCAAAGTGGCCTGTAGAATAAAAACGTGTACAAAACCTATGGAAAAACTGGAAAAAGAAACTAGAAATGTTTGGAATGTTTGGTAACCACTGCCACGTAGAAGTTTCATCCAAATCGAATCTAGGCTTACATTTACACTGATGTGCATTAGAAGAAATAAAGGAAATGTTAAAAAAAAATTAAAATTCATAAAAAATCAACTACCAACCCACCAAGTCCATAACGATCAGACATACCTATATGTGTTTCAAAAAATCGCGTTTTTGATGACATCATGATGACATCACATTTTTCAAAATTTTCTTTATCTATCTATGACCTAACAAACCTATTAGAAAAAGAACTTTGAATTGAGCAAGTTCCATTGATGAGATTTGACTTAAAGGTCCAAAAATTGAATAATTCATGTAAAATCACATGATGACGTCATCATGACGTCACTGCAATTTTTGTCTATAACACATCTCGCAATACCTGCATACCGAGTTTGAACCCGATCGGACTTCCGGTTCTGTAGATATACTGGTAGGGCCTTAAAATATGCACATTTTAGATGACGTCACGTGAAACGTGATGACATTATTATGATGTCATGATTCATCCTGAATCTTCAGATGATGGTCAAATGTTTGCCAGGTTTAAAGTCGATCGGATCTTTTTTTTTTATGTAATTTTGGTAATTAATTGGAAGAATATATTAAAAAATGTTGAAATAATAAAGAATCAGATGATGACGTCATGATGGGGTCACTTCAGATTTTGAATGCTTATATCAATATGATAATAATTATATCATAACGATCAGACACACCCTTGTACGTGAATAAAAAAATTCACGTTTTCGATGACATCATTTTGATTTGGCCTGAATCGTCAAATGGTGGTCTAAATGTGTGCCAGGTTTGAAGTCAGTCGGATGTGAAAAAAGTCCCAAAGTGCTGTGTAGAACGAAAACACATGTTATCCTATGGGAAAAAAAGTGGGGAAAAACTAGAATGAAGACAAAACCAAAGGGTGATAGCCAACAACACTGGTCGGGTTGGAAAGCTCATGTCAGCATTAATGTACAAGATGTCCCGAAAAAAAGGTAACCCAAATACAAAGGGACATCAAAGGTGTGTTTGTTTCACTTTGGCAAAGGTCACAATAAATGAATTATTTTTAAAAAAATAAGATTTTGTTTTCAAATGTGTAACAAATTTCCAGTTTGAGAACTTTTCAATATTTGAATTTCAGTGAATTTTCCTTGAATTTCAAAGGTTTTAGCAACACTTTGTCTTTGCTGTTAATAAAGTGACATTTTTTTACACTCTTCTTGAATTGGTTATCAAAGAAGCTTATATGCTGAGGTTGATAAGATCAGATGAATGTTAAAGGACTTGATTTATGTTATGGTTGTCAAGAGTTTCTTCTCTCGTCCAAAATACATTTCAAAATACCTGCCATATACTTTAGTATACTTTATTAATTTTGCTTTTTGTTAACATTTTACCAAATTTCTTATTGCATTGTGATTTTAATGGCAGGTGTATGGCTTGTTGTCATCAACTATCGACAAAATGACAGAGCTTTTTCATGATATCCAGCCAAGAGAGTGACATCAGATGGTACAACAGACCTACCAGCACTTAGTTGTTACAGTGAACAAGGATTTACCGCTGTTACAAAGAAATGACAGTGCAAATCACCAATAAACTGGTGATTTGCGATGTCATCTCTTTGTTATGATGAGTAGGTGTTTTGGTTTAAGTTAGGGTAACATTAATAACAATTTGAAATTAAGCATTCTATTTTAAACTTAATTCTTTTTCTAATTCACAAGATTACTCCTTGATGTTGAGGTACTTTCCCACATTATCCTAAATGCTTTGACTTCCTTGAGTTTGCTGGAGTTCCAGTTTGTTCAACTGTAAACCACTTGCTCTACATTTTGTCACAGAGCTAACATACGGTACCGGCAAATCAACCATTTTGGCGAATTTTGAGATTTTGTTATTTTTGAGGTGTTTAAAGGTTGCTCCTTTATTAAAGTATTTGTGCCAAAATTCTGAATTCTTGTCTGTATTTGGAGATTCGGAGCCCCGCCTGTGGCGAATCAGTCACATTTTGACATAGTGACGAATACGGAATTTTGCTGGTAACCAGCTAATGCAAGGTGTACGTTCAAAGTACCAACGAATGTTGTTTGTCGGATTGCGGCACGGCGCACATGTGTGCGCAATCCGACAAACTGACGAATAGCATACAAACTGTGAAAAACAACTGGCTATTAGAGATTTTGTAATTTGACAAACGGACGAATACGTTTACAATCAAATAAAAACAAATCACACAACTTCTCTGATTAAATAAGTTACCTGATGGATACTACGTTTCCTATTTTATTTCGAGTGTACACAAAAAACAGTAATTATCAAAACGTTAAGGATAAAATACGACGCCCAGAAAAATGTCCAACTTCAAACGCAAATTACTCGAAACAGGGTTTTCGCTTATTTGTCGGTATGTCAGCTCTACGACGAATTATTTGTGATGTAACAAATTCACATTAGCACCCACTTTTGTGCTGATTGTGAACAGACGTGAAGTAGAAATGTTTTGCCGAATTTGTTTTGAAAGGTACCATGTTACTACTCAGCAGAGTTTTCAACAACAAAAAAATCTTAAATTTCCGCACAATTTGTTTGATGGTTACAAATTGTTAAAATTTGTATAAATGTTATTGTGAAGGGAGCTTTGAAATTTAATAAATATTGATTTTGAGTTGTACTCGTCACAGAAAATGGTACACTTTATGGATCACCTAAACTCTTATTGCAGAATATTGCAAGGTGGGCAATACTCTCGTACTCTCTGTTGCTCTCTCTATATATACATAAAATGATAAAAGAATGTAAAAAAAACAAAATTAAAACAGTGCTCACCGGATAGCGATTGCCAAGCTTTCAGTGTGATGCATCTTTATCAGGACATTTTGGCTTGTGATGTACTGCTGGTAGAACAAATGGACAAAAATGTATCTGTAACAGAAGCTGTGTATCCCCATTGCTGGAAGAACCCGCTCATCGCTGGAGCTCTTTCTCAAACTCAACTTCCTCAATACAAATTTGGCAGAGGCGAAGGAAATGACTATTGGGGTTTGGGGATACCATCTTTGCACGTTTTGGGATATTACTGTACCTGATACATATTACTGATTGAGAGCCAAATTCTCACTGGTTCATTCACCATCACATCCCAGATGCTATTTTTGCTGTTTACCATGTGTGTGCGCGAGTGTTCACACGCAGGCATAGTAGACTACTGGTACCATAGATATAGAATAAATTATTCCATATCTATGAACTGTACGTGCGACAGCCTACTATGCAAATCGCTTCACAATTAATCGTGGAACTGTCGCACGGGTATAGTACACACAGGAATAGTATGCATCTTGTTTTCCTTGATTCTCAATGACTGTGAATAAGTAATATTACCTTAGAATAATGATCTAGCAACTTTTGCTGTACTGAGAACCTTCATTGTCAAATGAACCATGAGTCTTGGAATAAACATGTCAGCTCTATGGTTGTGAAGGCAAAGCGTCTGCCGTTGAT